GACACTGTCCTACAGACATGGTAGTTACGGGGGAGGACAGAGGCCAATGGGAAATAGCATAGGTGGCCATCCTCCCCTCCCATTGTCCCCAGTACCACAGGCAGGCTAGTAGTTTCGCATTCAGCAGAATGAGTGCTATGACCACAGGCCTCAAAGCCACCCAGGCCTCAAACTTACAAAGAGGATACCCCCAAAGTCTCAGTGCAGTTTTCAACTTTTAATTGCTTAAAACTACACTAAGACTTTTGCAACAGACTGTAGCACTTTATGCAAAGAGCTGATGTGATACAAACAGGTATACGTATATAGATACATATACAGATATCTGCAGGTCAAAGCAGTAGGGTAGCCTGGACCACTGAAATCAGAGTACCTTATGAATTGTTTAAGAAGGAATAAAGAATGAGGGGCAGGGACCCAGCACATTTAAAGTCTAACCATGCCATAGCAAGCAAGTGGTTGGGGAGGGGTCAATGCCCAATCTCTGGGTCAGTTAAGCCTTAGCCTTCATGCATCTTGAGGGCTGAGGACACATCAGGCAAATCGGTTGTCATCAGATAACAATGAGTTCCTGATCTGCATTGGTGAAAGGAGTTTACACTCCAAGAGTACATTATACCAATGAAATTACACTGGACCGGAAAACAAGTTTTTTTGTTTGTTTGTTTTGGTGAGGCAATAGGGTTAAGTGACTTACCCGGGGTCACACAGCTAGTGTCAACATATATTTGAAAACAAATATATTTACTAAGCTCCTATTGTGTGCAATATACTGCCCTAGGCACTGGGGATAAAAAACAAATATATTTACTAAGCTCCTACTGTGTGCAATATACTGCCCTAGGCACTGGGGATAAAAAACAAAAAATATAACCATTCCTGGCCTCAAGAAGATGATATTCTATTGGGGGATATAACAGGGACAGAAGCAGATATAATACAAAGTTGGGAATGATGGGGGCAAAGGAAAGATTGCTAATGAGGAGACTGAGAAAAACTGGAAGGATTAGAGAAAAGGCTTCACAAAGAAGGTAGAAGCTGAGATTAAGAAAGAATAGTTTTTATAAGGAATATAATAACTCCGGTGGACAAGTGATCTGTTAAGCCAGCCTGGAATCTGGGTAATAACATACACTCACTATAGTCTCTCTGTTCCCCAAGCCGTAAGGGAGAGCCTTTACCTACTGATCTTGTACAAGGCCTGTGTTTGGGTCAGGGTTTTTCTGATTTAAGAGAATCTAATGACTGCTCCACTATGGATTGCCTTTATAATTTGTTTTTAGGTTGATGTTGATAAATACGTTTTCCCTTGAACCCAGCTCGTGCTTTTCTGATTCCTACCAGCAGAAAGTGATCACTCACTTCACAGAATTCTTATAATTACATGTAACTTGAGCTTCTCTGGGCATGCCCATTTCTAACATGGAAACACCCGTGAGGGCCTTTTGAGCATGCCCAGTTTACCTGACACGGAGCCCTTCTTCCCTACCTCATGGGTGGTGGTAGCCCCCTTTGACTGGCTGCCATGTCATTAAAACTGGCTGAGCTATGGATGCTTTGCCCCCACCTTATAGTTCCCCCCGACACACACATACATGTACAACCCTGTTTCTGCTGCCCTCAGCATGGATACCAGGAATTGAATCAATGAGAGTGGATGGACTTGCCATCCTCTTCTCCTCTTTTACCCTGGCTAGGGAGAAATGAGCCTGAGAAGGTTGATTTCAGTTCTCTATTATTTGTCCTTAGTTTCAGATACTGACTGGAGGTGATCCCTACAGCTACCCTGGAGCCAGGATAAATCAGGATGCCTAAACTGGAGGGGTATTTTGGACTTGGAACTGGGAATGTGTTTCATGGGAACCTCACTAAGCTATGGACCTCATCCCCTTCCCCTGCCCAGAGAATGATGTGCGGGGTATGTGTGAGGAGCACTGTACCTCCCATGTGTTGGGGAAATAAGTTTGTGTATTTATGATTATGCCTTTTGTAATAAATATTCTCATGGAAAAGGTCCTGTCTTTTACTATTTTGTCTAGACCCTTTCCTTTGTCCATTTATCACAAAGCATTGTGGATAGGTGGCTGTATCTCTCAAGAAATACCCCCAGCATTTACCACTTACATCCATATGCGACCTCTCTGGTCTCAGTTTCCGCATAAAGAATAAATGAAAATAATACTTGTACTACCAACAGGTATTAGATACACACCCACACACATACACACACACACACATATATATATAATAAAATAAGGAGGCTAATACCTGTAGTATCTACCTTGTAGGGCTGTTATGATAAATATATATTATATGTATATACACACATGTATGTATGTATGTCACTTTACAGTTTGTAAAGTGCTTTATATAGGATTATTTCATTTGTCATGTATTTTATTTGTTATAGGTATGTTTTTATATATTACATATACACACATGTGTGGATCTCTATCTATGTAGACAGATACAAACACACACATATGTCACAGAGAGTTGGTGAACATGTGCAAAGTGCTCCTCTGACACAACCCCCTTGTGAAAGAGTTTGGGTAGCCTGTTTCTGGAAAGGCATAATGGCATGTCCTACAGGGTTCCTACTCCCTGATTTGGAGCATGCACAGACCTCCTATAACTGGTTTGGTTCACAATGTGGTGAACTAGAGTCTTTTTAATGGGCTATTGAGTGAGAATTGGGGTTCATTCAAAAGACACTAACCAGCCAAAATAAGTCTCTTGCTTTATCTTCTCCTCTCCCTGGATAAAAGGATGAGCCACTATGCCCTTTGGGTTGAGGAGGGGTTTCAGCACACTGGTAATAATTGATTATCACAATGTTTCTTTAAGAGATACTGTCTACGGGCGGCTAGGTGATGCAGTGGATAGAGCTCTGACCTTGAAGTCAGGAGGACCTGAGTTCAAATATGGCCTCAGACACTTAACATTTATTAGCTGTGTGACCCTAGGCAAGTCACTTAACCCCAACTGCCTCGCCAAAAAGCAAAAAATAAAAATAAAAACAAAAAAAATAAAAAGGGCAGTGAAAGAGATACTGTCTAGCAAGAAGCTCCATATTTACTAGAGTTTGGCCTGGAGAGCCAGAAAACTGGATTGTCTAGGCACAAAGCCAAGAGCTACTATTGCTTCTGTCTCTGTTGAATCCATTCTGTCCAGTTCCTAAGTAAATGATATTGGAGATGACCACGAGTTTACAAGCCTTAAAAAGTCAGGAAAGAAAGCCACCAGAAGTCCAGGAGCTGGATCCATGTAGGGATTTGTAGAAGCCAAAGAATAAGGAATCAAGTCCCAAATCTGACCTCAGACACTTCATAGCTGTGTGATCCTGGGCAAGCCACTTAACCCTATTTGTCTCAGTTTCCTCATCTGTCAAATGAGTTGGAGAAGGAAATGACCAACCACTCCAGTATCTTTGCCAAGAAAATCCCAAAGAGGGTCACTAAGAGTCAGACATGATTGAAAAACAACTAAACAACAGCCACAACTTTCTGACTCCATGCCCAACACTCTACCCACCTGTGCCACCCGATGGACTTGTTCAGGGAAAGGGATGCCCTGGCCGATAGGCACTAGTGATGGGCACTGGGAGTCACATGACTCAGAAGAGTGGATAGCAATGTGAGCCCCAGCAGGAGTGGACTGGCAGCATGAGAGGCTACAGTGGCAGTGGACTGGGCAGAAAGAAGTCTAGTTTGTCAGGAGCGTAAAGTATGTGAGGGGAAATAGTGTAAGATAAAGTCAATTGGACTCAGGATGTTTGGGGCCTGGAATGCCGTGCCAAGGCATTTCTTTCTTATTCTTTAGGATAGTGGTCTCAAAAGTGAGGACTATGCAGCCCTAGAGGACCCTGGAATGACCCTAATGGGTGTGTGCTCAGTCAAGCAGCAAGCTGGAAAGATGGGCAGCATCTCTGTGATAGCCGGTTGTACGCTTGTCTCCAAAGTAACCACACCATCTTCTACACCTGTTATTGCTCATTTCTTCCTGGTCTTGACCTTTCTACTACCAGGGTCCTGTGGCATTGATGTGCATTGACTCCTCAGGTCAGTTAGAGCATAACTGTGACCCAGGCACCTGAGGCAGCCTGGAAGGCTGAAGTCCTCACTCCTTCTCTGCCATTGCTTCTAAATTCTGACTCCCTCAATCACCTTACGGTTGCAGCAGGCATCTCTCAGTAGAAGGCTCAGTGCTTTGGGGCAATGGCCAGTGATTCTAAGCTCCGTGAGGTCAGTGTCTGTCTTATTTCACTGCTGTATCCCGGGCCTAGGTCAGCACCTTGTCATACATAATTCAATGGTTCAAGTCTTCATGATTTCACCTACATGGGTACATGTTTTACCAATACAGATTATAACCTCTGCATACCTTCGTAGGGTGTCTTTGTGGGTTATCATAGCCTAAAACATCTAACAGCATAGAGTCAGTCTCCTTACGATAGTCCTCTGATCCTTGGTTGAGAGACATACTGTCCATCACAATAGGCCTTTAAATGATGGCTTTCCCTCTTGGTAGGAATGACCAGAATTTTGGTTCATTGACATAGCATTCAAGAACTAAGGGCCATCTCCATGCTATTTTTCAGTCATGTCCAACTCTTCATGACTCCGTTAGGGGTTTTCTTGGCAAAGACACTAGAGTGATTTGCCATTTCCTTCTTTAGCTCATTTTACAGATGAGAAAACTGAGGCAAACAGGGTTAAGTGACTTACTCAGGGTCGCACAGCTAGTAAGGGTCTGAGTCCAGATTTGAACTCAGGCAGATGAGTCTTCCTGACTCCAGGCCTGGCACTCTATCCACTGTACCATCTAGCTGCCCATGCTACTATGAGGCAGGGCTAATTTGAGGTGCTAGTGTGGTACTTTGTACACAGTAGAAAATAAATATTTTTAGAATTAAATGTAAAGTCATCCCCACAGATCCTTCCAACTCTGAAATTCTGTGGTTGTATAAAATAATAGAACATAGAAAGTCAAGTACTCACTTATCTCACAGTGGTCTCCCTCCAGTCCTGGTGGGCAAATACACTTTCCTAAGTAAAAGCAAGTTCCTCCATTGAAGCAGGTTGTTGAGCAATTGGCTGAAAGATAACAGGAGGGTATTGCATTAGATGGTGAGTGGCCTCAAACTCAATTAGAAACTGATGCCTGCAGACCACACATTGACTTAGAAAACCACAAATTAACATTATGTAGGTTGTATTGTATTTTTTATTTTTTCAACATTTCCTAATTACATTTTCATCTCATTCAGCTGCACAATTGAGGGTCTCTGGTTTGACATCTTTGCCTTAAATTTAGGAGAAATATGATTTTGAAGGTGTTGTTCATTCTTGAGATGTTTTTCTGAACAGCTGAAACTTGCTCACTATTTTCAGATAGAAACACCTTTCTTTTGGGCAAAATGATATTAGCAGCTGCATCAATTAAAACCATTTCTATAATTTGGTGATTAGGAGAGACCCACAGAATATTGGTTGGCCAGAGAGTGGTACCGAAGAATGTGAGCAAAAGAGCAAAAGATTTGGAATCAGGTACCTGAATTTAAATCATTGATGGCCTACTAACTACCAATATGATCCTTGGCATGTCATTTACCTTCTCTAGGTCTCTGTTTTCTCATCAGAGGACCTGGGTTCAAATTCTGGCACTACCTGTGTATTATACATATATTACATAATACACATACTACCTGTGTGACCCTGGGCAAGTAACTGTATCTCTCTTGGCTTCTATTACTCATCTATAAAATGAGGGAACTGGATGTTAGATTTGGAGTCAGAGGGTCTGGGATTAAGTACCCTCTCTACTAGTTACTTCCTGTATGAGTTTGGGTAAGTCAATTAACTTGTCTGAACTTGTTTGATCACCTGGAAAATGCAGGGGTTGGATTAAGGGGGTTCTAAGGTGCCTTGTGGCTCTAAATCTAAGATCTTAGACTAAATAATTGATCTCTGAAACTCCAGGACCTAATCACAGAAAGTAAAAAGTCAATTATGAAGTGTTAAACTAACAAAAAAAAAATGTGACCACGCCTCAGCGATCCCTTTATGAAGTGTGAACAAGTCTCTTGAGTGAACTAGGAAGAGAGCAATGATATTGGTCAAAGAATGTCTAGCCATGCCCCCAAGCCACCCTTAAAAGGCAGTGGATGAAGGCAGTTTTAGTCAATTCAGGAGAACACAGTTCCTAATGAGTTGCATAGATTCGTGGAGCATGCATGGAGCTGAATAAGGCTGAGAGGAAATGTGGAGTTAGGAGCACAAAAATATGGAAATAGGTAGCAAGGGGCTGGGCCTGGGAGAACGGAGGCTGTTTGGGCCAATTGGGTGTAAGGGATATTGGGACAGATGCTGGGTCACTTTAACCACTGGACCTCAAAGTAGTAATTCTGTACTTCCTTTCCATTCTTGAAGTCTTTTCCTTTCAGACCCAGGGACAATCTGTTTACTTTTCTTTGTTTTAAATGCTTATTTTGTTTTCATAAACTGTGTGAACTATAGACATTTGCTAGTCTGGGCATACTTACTGAGAATATGGTTGGAAGGCAACAATTAAGGGGAAACATCCTCAGGGAAAAAAGAGATAGAGATGTTTTGCCAAAGTGCCCTCTGTGACTAGGGGCTCAGAGCTAAAAACAAAACAAAACAAACACTCTCTCCTCCCAAATTTTAAATTTTTTTTGGCACAATTTCCCAGAGCAGAGAAAGAATGTTTATACTGAGAAAAACCATCTATGCAATGAGTTAATAGTGATAAGATAAAGTGAATACCAGGTATAAAATGCAGTTAGTGTAGTGTGAGAATCAGGACGAATCAGATTCTATTTTTGAACACTGACTCTATTTTGCTGTCACATGTATACTCCTCCATTTTGTTGTTTTTAATTTGATTTTTAATTTAAAAATTAAAATTTTTAATTAAATTTTTAGTTTAGTTATTCATCCATCCAAATCTAGATTATGTAAGCCATCTATTGTTTCACACATGGAGGTAGGTGTAATTAATCAATATCTTTTCATTTTACGAATAGAGGACCCCAAAACCTACTCACCCCCCTCCTAACTTGGAAAGCCCCTAAACATTCCTTCAATTAGAAATTAGATTACCAAATTTTGTATCCTGGCTAATTGTTTTTGCTATAATGAATTGGACTTTTTGGATTTATTTGATTTGGGGAGAAGGTATAAAAATCTACTTTCTTCTGTATTCAGGGTCTTTAGATTAACTGGGGAGTCCACTGATTCATTCATTTGAATGCCTAGCTAATAAATCATCTATGCTTGGATTGTTTCATCAGTTATTATTAATTACCCTTTACAATAGGAGAGTAGGTGTGAATAAGAGTGGCTAAATTACTCTGCTCACCACAGCACCCACGCCTGTTATACTCTGATCCTACAACTAAATTAACTCTGAGGCCCCATTCTACTTCTAAAGCTATGTTCCTATAGGATTTTTTTGGGGGGAAAATCACAATTTCTTCCAGTGGTAGCTAATATTTTAGCAAAATGGGTCTTGGTATGAGGAGAAATAGAAGTATATAATTCAATTTTTAAAATTTTCTAATATATTTATTTTATTATTATTATTTATCTTTTTTTGTCCAAAGTTTTACCAGAAGCCTTAGTATCACATATCAAATTTCTTGAATGGCAAGTTACAATGTGGTCTGGAAAAAGATCAAGACAGGGGTGGGAAATTAGGGATACTAAGATAAGGTTAATGTGACTGGGTTAAAAGAGGTATACGGGGGAGGACCTGAAAGATGTATCAGGAGGAAGCAGGTTGTTTGAATGAGTCAGTGCCATCAACTTGAATTTGATGAAGAGAATATCTTGAATCAAGTAAAGGGTTTTAAAGAGGGACAAAACATGATGAAAGTGCTTGGAGATTACAGGGAAGGGAGGAGAAGGAGGAGGAGGAAAAAGGAGGAAAAAAAGAGAAGAAAAAGAAGGAGAAAGAGGAGGAGGAGGAGAAGGAATTGGAGAAGAGGTCCAGGAGGTGCATTTTGGATTAATCAGTCCAAAAGAGGTCAAATATAAATAAAGTTCTAGCTTCTATGTTTGGTATTCAAAGCCTCCACAATATGGCACCATTCCACTTTTCCAGTCTTATCTTATAATACACACTCTATACACCAGCCAAACTGTTCTATTCTCTGTCCCCAGATATGCCCTGTGTTTTCCTACCCCTGTCACTTTGCTTACTCTGTTCCCCATGCCTTGTATGCTTTGTCTATCTTCTCTTTGCCTGTTAAATTCTACTCATCCTTTAAAGCCCAAATCAAATGTCACATAATTGAGGAAACCATCTCTAATCCCCCCATCAATAATAACTTCGTCTCTCAGACTTCATGACATTTTGTTTATGCTTCCTCAATGCAACTATCATGCAGTTTTGTATGTTATGATTATCTGTATTAGTTTGTTTCTTCCCCAAGACCTAATATGGCATTCTACATATAGTAGGTGCTTAATGTGTATTGAAATTAAATAAAATATGAAATTCCTAGGAAAGTGAAGTTGACACTATTCTTCTATGTTATGAAAATGCTTGTTTTATTTCACAAGTTCAGAATAAAATAAATAAAATTAAAAAAAATTAAAACCTAGATTAATTAATTAATTAAGAAACTAGAGATTTCTCTAAGATGAGGAGATGAGATCATCAGAGGATTAGCCCAAGTTGAGATTGACCTCATATGAGAAGACATTGACTCATGATGCAGGAACCAGAGTGATAGATCTAAGTGTGAGGTCCTGGGATTGAATTCTACCTCTCTCTCTGACTCCCTTACTCCTCTGGGACTTTGGACCAGGCATTACACCACTGTGGGCTTTAGTTTCCTCATCTGTAAAATGAGGAGGTGAGGCTAGATCACCTCTAGCTTTCAGCACTAAGTCTGTGAACCTATGAAGGGGTTAATTTTAATATACAGAGAAGGAGAGGTTAGTGGCTAGAAAGCTAACCTCATCAGGCTTTGAAGCCAGGAAGCGCACATTTAATTCAAATCCCATGTCAGACACATACTGGCTGCGTGATCTTGGGCCTTCTCACTGTCTCAGGAGCTCTCCAAGACTATAATTTGGGGTAAAGGTGATGGATGACCTGCATTGGTAGAAGGAATTTCCTCATCTGGGAGTTTCTTATACCAAAAAAAAATCACTAGACGAGGCCTTATTTCTATAGAGCGAGAAGTAGCAAGATTCAGGGCAGATTGGGGAGTTTCTGGAGCCAGTTGTTACCTCTTGAGAGAACTGATTATTAAATTTTCAGTGGGAACATTTATACCTCAGAAATCAACAAATACTGCAAATTAGGGCTTGATTTTTTGTTTTATTGATTGTCTAGACCTAAAAAAGTGATAGATAAAAATGGTAATAATGTGGATTAAACCTCTTAAGTGTGCCGCGCATTTTCAGAGAGCTGGTTGTTAAATATTTATAAGCATGCCACTGGGGCAGATAGAAGGGAAAAAAAAATAGGAAAAAACACTGAGATTCTTCATGTGGAAATGAAGGGAGGCCTCTATAAGCCATGGCATATGGTATATATAAGTATGATATAGACTTATAAGCATCTATGTATAAGTGATGCATAAGGATGATACAGAAATTGGATGTGATAATGTGGTAATGTGGTGACTTTTACCGACTACCCTGGTGAGGGATCATCCTAGGCTGAATGCTTCATCTTTCTCTCTCCCTTATTTTGTTGCTCAAAATGCCAGAGGGAGAAAAAAAATGAAAAGAAAAAAATTAAATTTCTAAAAATAAGCAATTTGGTTATTTATTAGTAGCTCTAGAGGCTTTGAGTGCAGTGGATAAAGCACCCACCCTGGAGTGAGTTCAAATCTGGCCTCAGACACTTACTAGCTGTGTGACCCTAAGTAAGTCTCATCTGTAAAATGAGCTGGAGAAGGAAACGGCAAAACCGCTTCAGGATCTTTGCCAAGAAAACCCCAAATGGGGTCACAACTGAACAAAAATAGAGCATTTTAAAGTTTGCAAAGTGCTCTATGTCTATGTGATCCTCACAATAACCCCGTGAGGCAGGAAACCAAAGGTCCAGGGGGGCAGAATTGGAAGCATTGAGTGGAAATTGAGAAGAAGCAAATTAAGACTTTATGTTAGGAAAAAACACTTCCTAAAAATCAGATTTGTAAGTGAGATAGACTGCCTCAGGAGGAAGTGCTTGTGCAATTCCTCTTTCCATCTTCTCCTTCACCTTGGAGGTACTTAAGCAGAATCTGGGCATATAGCATGATTGCAATTCCTTTATAGGTATGGCTTAGTCTCCATGACAGCTGAGATGTCTTTCAACTCTAACGTTCGATGACTCTGTGATTTCACCAACCACCAGCCCTTGGCCTGGAATGGGAGTATAAAGACATTGCGTGTGCCTCTCAGGCTCTCTCAGACTAGAAAACCTGACAAAAGTATTAGACCACCACTTAACTGGCTATGCCAGTTAGCACTTACGTTAGAGTTTTAAATGCCTAAATAAAGCCGCTAGTCCTTGGGAAAATAGGTCTGTAATAATTCCTAGGTAGAAAACCAAAAGAGAGACACGAAGTGACTTTCATTAAAGGTGACAGGTAAATGAATAACTTCTGATCTCCTAGAGCAGGGGCTTTTAACCTGTGGTCCTCTAACTGGTTTTTAAAGTATTTTGATAACTGTATTTCAAGGTAATTGGTTTCCTTTCTAACCCTATGTATTTTATTTTGTGCAATTAAAAACATTATTCTGAAAAGCCTTTTCTAAACTGCCCAAGGGGGTGCAGGACACACAAAAATGGTTAAGAACTCTTGTCCTAAAGTGGTATTTCTTTCTTTTTTTATTTTAAAAATTTTTTATTGATTTTTTTGGTTTTTATCTCACCTTGATTTCTCAATACATTTGCCTTACTCCCTCTCCCCTAGAGCCATCCCTAATAATAAAGATTTTTCTTTAAGGGGTGAGGGGAACAGTTCAACAAAACAAACTAGTACACCGATCAGGTCTAACATTATTCGGAGAAGTGTGTTAGATCTAGCTTGTACCGGCTCAGTCAATGGTTAAATTTTCAGTGTGAGCAGTGTAAATCAACCAAACAACAAATCAAGACCTGATTTATACTGTTTGTGTGCAAAAGCTAGCTTGTACTACTAGCTCTGTCAGTTAAACTCCCACACTGAAAATTTAACCGACTGAGCTGATAACAAGCTAGCTCTAGTACAGAAACACTACAAATCAGGTCTTGATTTGTTTTTGCTTGCTTGTTTGTTTGTTTAAATATTTATTTATTTATTTAAAATAAATTTTCCGCAGTTATATGTAAAAACAATTTTTAACATTCATTTTTAAAACTTTGAGTTCCAAATTCTCTCTCTACTTTTGATTTGTTTTGTTGATTGTCTAGACTTAAAGAAAGTGATGGAGAAAATGTTAACAATGCAGGTTAAATTTAAAAGTGTGCAGGTACCTTTTTTTTTTAAATTAGAGAGCTGGTTGTTAAAAATTTACCAACACACCACCCATGGGTCCATACCAACTATACACTTCTTCTGCACTGAAAGGAGGGAGGTACAGACAAATGTGTCTTCTTTGGGAGCAAGTTTAATCATTTTAATTTTATTGAATTCTTGTGGAGTTCTTTCCATTTACATTGTAGTCATTATGTATATTGTTTTCCTGGGCCTGCTTGCACTTTGCATTAAGTCACATAAGATTCCCCATACTTCTCTGTATTCATTTAAATTTTTTCAATGATTTTTTTATTTTTAATATTCTATTCTTTTCTTTTCAAATTTTGAGTTCCAAATTCTCTTCTTTCCTCCCATCCCTTCCCTTACCTACTGAAAAGGCAAGCAATGTGATATTTATTTCTGATGACTCAAAAGCTAAAGAGTTATTTATTAACATTTCTTCAAATATGTAGAAGGTACTAACTCTATGCCAAGTCTGAAATGAAACTTTTCAGGAGCTGCTTTTTCCCCCTTCTGAATAATAAAAGCCCCTTTTGTTTGAGGAGATGAAGAACACCATTTTTAATGTTCCCAGCCTCTCTAGAGGGGCCAAATGGAATTTCACAAGATTTTCCAAAGAACAGTCTAATGTGAACTAAAAACAAAGTTGGAAAATCTTCCATCCAAGAGGTGAGATATTCCAAAAAAGTAAATGTACTGGGTTTCTAGGGTAGATATTCCTTCAACAATGCCTGAGCATCATTGATGACTGAAAGATAGAAGAAGGAAAAACACATGCACACACAAAATATTCATCAGTTGATTGTCTTTCGGGCTAACCAAGCCAATAAAGTCACATTTATGTAAACAAGTTACCAGGGTGTACGGCTTTTAGTAATGTGGAGTAGGAAGACAGATGACACTAACCTTTGAAAGCATGAGTACTAAATGTTAATTTCATGCCTCTGAAGAACATAATGCTGAAAAGGTCTTTCCTCTATTACACAAGAGCATGAAAGCATTAATGGCAGGAGTCCCCATTTAAGAAACGCCAAATTACAATTGTCGAGGTGTGAGGTGATGGAGGACTGTGCCAGGATGGCAGCTGTGTGAATGGAGAGAGGGGGACATATACATGAGATGCTATGAAGGCAAAAATGACAAGACTTGGCAAAAGGTTGAGTATGTGAGATGAATGAAAGGGGAGAGTCAAGGCAAGGGTGTCATCAAGATTGTGAGCACGGGTGACTGGAAAGATTACTTTCCACAACAATAGGAAAGTTTAAAAGAAGGGCAGGTTGGAGTAGGGAAGGGAGACAATGAGTTCTGTTTTGGACATGCTGATTTTGAGAGGCAGATGAATCATTCAATTTGAGATGTCTAAATGGCAGTTGGTCATATGGACCTGGAACTCAGGAGAATGTCTAGGGCTTGATGTCTAGATGTGGGAAATTCAAGAAGTGATGATCTTTGAACCCATGGAAAGTGATGAGATCAGCAAATGAGATAGGATAAGGGCAGCTAGGTGGTGCAGTGGATAGAGCACCAGCCCTGGATTCAGGAGGATCTGAGTTCAAATCTGGCCTCAGACAGGTAACACTTACTAGCCATGTGACCTGGGCAAGTCACTTAACCCCATTGCCTAGCCAAAAAAAAATGAGATAGGATAAAGGGAAAAGAGAAAAGGGGATCAGGGCAGAGCCCCAAGGGACAAAATGACATGGATGAAAAACTAGCCTAAAAGGAACCCAAGAAGGAGACAAGTTGCTTCATGTGCCTGAGATGTAGATCTGTTCTAGGATAATGCATCCAAACTTCACAGAACAAAAACTTTTATTAAGGGGATTTATTCTGTGAAGTTTGGATTCAGTCAAAGGGCCACACTTGAGGACCTAGAGGGCCACATGTGGCCTCAAGGTCACAGGTTCCCCACCCCCAGAACCATTGTTTGCTTCTCAGTATGAGGATCAATAAGATGTTTTTCAAAGATGTTCAATCATTTTTTTACAGTCACTAAATAAATACAATAAATACTGTACTGCTATTCTAAAACAGCAATTTGTATTACCTTTTTCACAGTTTACACCGTAGAATCCAGGTGGGCAGATGCACAAGCCAGGAGTAACACAGAGCCCACCATTCATGCATCGTGGTATGCAGAGTGCTAATTGAAAAAGAATCATGATTAAAGGCAAGTAAGATTTGGAAACATGACCATTTTGCTACCATTAGTAACATAAGCCTGTTTATTTGTTATGACCCTAAAAGTTTAATTGTCAAGTAGGCTGCAATCAGATGGAATATTTGTGGTGGAAATTATGTTATTGATACTATCTCCATCAGTTTCAAGGAAGAGAATTTGGAGATCTTTCCATAGAACAACAGCTCAATCAGAACCTGACACATATTAGGAGCTTAATAAATTCTCATTGCCATAAGTTGAACACATATCTTTTTGCCTGCATTATTTCTATAATCTTTACTTTAAACATCCAAGTTATCCTTCCCAAATTAAAATACTAGGGAAAAGAATACAAAATTTTCTTCCCTAATGTTTTTAATGATAAAAAAGTTTCATTTGGCCAAATGAGTTAATAATTAAACTTTTGTAATGATTAGTTATTTTCTTGTTTGTGCTTTTTTTTATTTTTGTTTTTGGACCACACTTGTGATTTCATTGGCTTTTTGGAATTCCCAATGAGACCACTCTCTCTATAAAACAAAATAGATGGGATAGCCAGGTGGCGCAGTGGATAGAGCACCAGCCCTGGAGTCAGGAGGACCTGAGTTCAAATCCAGCCTCAGACACTTACTAGTTATGGGACCCTGGGCAAGTCACAACCCCAATTGCCTCCAGAAAAGAAAAAATAGGCACCTTCTACACAACTGAAAGTCTTAGAAAATGTCCTGAGGCACTAGGAAGTTAAATGACTTGTCTGAAGTCACACACAATGATTATGATTTCTGATTCTGAAGTGGGTTTTCTATCTGCTATACCATGTTGCCTCTCTGTGTTGTTTTTTTCTTAGAAGAGCCTTTAAACAAACCATTTTCCCCCAAAGGTGGAATTCTCATTAAACACCTAAAGGTTTTTTTATCAGCTCTTAGATTCATAACCATTTTATGATATTAGATATTGGTGACTAGGGCTGTTTTTGAAAAACTGGAAATGAGCATTTTGAATACATTTAACTTGGGGCTGAATGGCTTTTTAACACTTCACAGGATAGAACAAAGCCCCAGACATATTATATGGCCCTATAAGCTTATCCTAAAGTAGCTAGGTGCTTTAATGGTGGCATGTGGGACCAAGCAGTGTTAGGGTCTTCCAGTTTCACCATTACAGAAGTGACTGAAGAAGTCAGCAGTCATAACTCTTCGAGGAAAGAATTTCCATTTCCTGCATAGACTTTTTGTAATTTTCTGAGATTTCACTAATGCACCCTGAACAGATTACAATAAAGTGACTTAAAACAAGAGGAGGTATGTTTATAGTATCTCTGGGTCTCTGTTTGCATACAACTATGCCATGGACAAGTTACATGAAAGAAAGAAAATAAGTAAGATCAGTCAATCAACAAAGCTTTATTAAGTGCCTGCCCAGTGCCGGGAACTGTACTGGTGTCCCAGGAATACCAAGACGAGAACAAAACTGTAACACATTGATCTTGCCTACCTTTCTCACAGTGAGGCCCGTAGAATCCATCGGTGCATTTGCAGACACGTCTTTCATTACAGATACCTCCATTTCTGCACCCTCCTGGGCATTCGGCTTGAGCAAACAGAAATAATTCTAACATTAAGGCTCTGGATACATTAAAAAAGTTAGGCGACTCATACCCAACATGAAAACAATCTGAGTCTATCATTTTCTTATTGGTATCAATAGTAATAATCCATTTGACAATGATACATCTTAGTTTTCCTGCATTTTTGCTTAGATCTCTCATTCTTCCCACCCACTTTCATTCTGCATCTCACACAGGCTTCTCCTTCAATATATGAAACTTCACCCATTCTAACTTATGACAGAGAACGGAACAAGGAAGGAAGGAGAAGGATGAGCCATTTAGCATCCAAAACAGTGCTCCCTTTAAAAATGCTGGATCGAATTACATAGTTCCAAAATATAAATATTCACATTTGGAGACTGGAATGACATTTCAGTTTCAAATTCCATTCATTTCCTTGTACAAATATTAACAAAAATACGCATTCACCGTCCCTTTTATTTAACGAAAACTTTTTATATTTTTTATAACACAGTTGCCTTTTTTTTTTTTTGCATCTAGTAGTCTACTTGATAGCAAGGAAGAAGTCAAATGAGATGGGAAGAATTCATAAATATATTTCAGTTTGTCAACCTGCTATCCTTCCCATACAATAATCGGTCAACAAATAAGCATTTATTAAATCACACATTATATGCCAGGCATTGTGCTAAGCATTAGGAATACAAATGCAAGCATGAGACAGTCCCTGGTTAGGGACTGTGAGAAGAATAGCTCAATAGCCCCTCCCATAGAGGCTCTGGATACTCATCCTGTAGCTTTAAGAAAGAATGGAATCTTGAGGGGTTTCTGTTTAACTGTTTATTGTGAGGATTCAATCTAAAGAGGATGTCAGTTTCATTGTGATTCTGTAGTCTGTTTCAGCTGCCCTGGATGGAGAGAGGCTAGGTGAGGCTCAACCATAAAGAACTAGGAGGACTTCTTTCCTGAGAGACTCTTGTCTTGTGAAGAAACATTATAAAGAGAATTTCTGAATCACTTAGGCAGCTATCCTGAGAGAACTGAATGGGAGAACTGTGTTTCCGTAATTAAAAAATTGGCAGTAGCAATAATGGTTAGAGTTGACTCTGACTGTGACTTTACTCATAGCTACTATGTTGTAAATAAATATTTATGTCTTTTTTGTTTGCTATATTGTTTGTATAGCCAATAACTTTAGTGTTTAAGATAAGGAGATGGAGGTTGATATATAAGTATATATATGTATATATATATATATACACACACACATACATAAATATATGCAAACACAAACACACATACACATATCTGCATATATGTGAACAGATAGATACAGAGATGAATGAAAGCTTATGGGAAAAGAGGTCTCTACTTTATTAAGTAATATTTAATAAATTGGGTTAGTAGCTCAGAGATAATTGATTAATTAGTGATGGATATTTTGCCATTTTAATAACTCATGAGGACATATCTGAACATGCTCCTTGATTTCCTTAGAACCTGAATAAAGAATGAATAAAATAACAAGTCAAATAGCAGATAAAGATGGGTACCGACTCCACTTAGACTACATATGGATCACCAGTTTTAAAAACTTGCTATACATGGTTGTCATAACCTCGGTTTCATTTATAATTTGTAAAAATAACAACCATTACAAAATCAGTAATGTGATTGGGTTTTTTCTATGTAAAGTTTCCCAAAATGTAGCATCATTCATGATACTCTTATTCACAATTCTTTTTCAACCATTAGTTGAGATCAACCTTTTTTCCTAACTGCTACAAAACACCCTATTTCACAAAAATAAAAAGTTTAAAACAGTAGTTAAATGTATATGAATTTGTTTGATAAACCAAAGAACTCCTTATTCATCCATAGCCAAAACATTCAGATTTTGTGTTTCAAGGAACTATCCCAAATCAAGTCTATGGGCTACTCTTCTTTTAGACAGAATAAAACCAAATGGGGATTAGTGGAAGGAACCAGGAATGTTTAGCCTCAGAAAACTCAGGGGAGACAGTATAGCTATTTTCACATATCTGAAGGATTATCATGTGAAGGAGGGATCAGACATTTTATTTGGACCCAAAGAGCAGAAATTTAGTTGCAAAAAATAAAATTGAGGCTTAATGTCAGAGAAAACTTTCTAATAATTAAAGTTGTTCAAATGGGGGTTGGACTGCTCTAAGAGGTGATAGTAAGTCTTCAAGCAAATTCGGAATGATCACTTGTCAGGAATGGTAGAGTAGGGGGAGATTCCTTAGATTAGACTTGAGATCCCTTCCAGCTCTCAAGTTTGGTGATCCTGTGTGTTTCTGAGAATGTTTCCTCATTTTGCATGGCAAATGGATTCCTTATCCATTCATATCAGACTTAAAAATAAAATGATAAAATTACTTCTGAAGTGATTTATAAACCTTCCTTTATTTTCTCCTATTTCATTTGCAGGCCAAGTATTTTAAAAATTGTAAAACATAGGAAAATATTATTTTGCAAAATTATTAGCCACAGCTGTGACTTGTTTCATAAAGGCTGTTGCTTTATCTTTCTGGATCAGAGTAGCAATTGGAGGAAGTGATTGATTTATTTAGATCACTTGGTTTAAAAAAAAAGTTCAAAAAAACCAAAAAAATAAAAGGTTCAACAAATCTACAACATTGAGGAGGAAATTTCTGATATAGAGTGAATGTAATTCATTGTTATGAATACCTCTAGGAACCTTCAAAGTGCTTTGGCTCAAGAAAGCCAGTATGTTTGGCAATAATACAGAAATGCTCTGTGTCCTAGCTGGTTCTATACTGTTGCTCAATTTTGTGAAGAGCCTTCTTTTAATAGAGTTAAAAAAAAAAAGTTGATTAACCTTACAACAACTTGAAAACTGTGTGGCTTTTTGACCATATTTATCAATACAAATGATTTTCTATAAAGCACAAATGTCCAAATTGCATAAAAGACCATTTTTAACTAGTTTTTACAGAGTTGGATTTCATTCTGACATTAATTGAACTCCATCAGTGAAAAGTCCAATGCAGTTCTCCCACAATATATAATTTTCATTTAAAAAAATTTATCAATTACATTGAAAATGTATCTTGATTTGTCTTTGCCATCAATAGGCTTACAAAGCAATAAAGCTTTCCTCCTAACATCAATTTCAACAATATATCATGCCTAAATAACCGAATAAGCATCTTTTAACTACATATGTTACTTCATCCACTTGCAATGCAAAATAGGAATATTTTAGTTTCTCAATTAATTGTTCACAAAGGTCTTCAGACATATAGGTAATTTTCCTTCCCACCATATTATATACAAGTAGAGTCATTCAAAGCCGCTTTGCACTTAATTTTTGAGAAATTTCATTTTAATTATATCAATAGATACAAATATCACCACGATGTTTCTCTTATCAAAATGAGGCTTTTTACACTTAATGATACTACAAGCAACTTTTATCATGCAAGCAATCCCTTTGAGGTTACAGATTTTGAAAAAGTTAGCTTTTGCAAATAACTGGTTTTCTCTAGGAAGATTATAGTTTCTTGCTAACTTATTCTCTGCATATACTTTCAAAACATCTTTTGAATTCATTAGGTTTTGCACTATCTGCAGCAAAAGCATTCATACAAAGGAAAGAATAGTTTTTCCTCTCCAATAACAATATTTGTAAATTTCAGTGATAAATATAATAGGTCACTTTTTTGGGGATTTGGGCTCATTACTTCATGTTTATTTCTGCTACTTAAACTATCTTTATTATCCTGGTATAAGTTTTAGTCACTCTAGTGGACTTTTTCTTCAAAGTGGGTATTTATTCATCACGAAGGGTTTTTTTTGTTTTTAAAACTGAGAAACCATAAAATATTTGACAATTGAATTGAAATTTAATTGTTGAAAATTTCAATTATAAGTACTCATTTTCAAGTCATTTTAATTTTTTTAAAAAAGTTACTGGTATTTTTTTTTAAATCAGCTTGCTATATTGTACTCAAAAAATGATCTTAAGAAAAATGGCAGATATTGTGGTACCTTCTAACTTACACAGAAAGATTGTTTAGCATTGAAATTATACATTTACTGTCAAAATGCGAAAAGCAATTCAATACTACAAACTCATTTGGATCATCAGCTTCCATAGACCAACAGGGACACACTGAAATTTGTCATTTCCTGACTCAAATTTAATTTCATCTTCACCTGTCATATTAAATAGTTTTTGGACTGGAGTCACCATCAGTTGAAGTGAATTTGCTGTGTTAGTGTTGCCTTTGTTGATTTGGATTTAAACTTTGCTTTTACTTTTTAAAAAATAGATATATTTATACGGGAATTGTATTTATAAAGGAGTTGTATTTAAAAGTGGCCAATGATTTAATCCATTGGTTTGAATTTCCTTTAGAGAATCTCATACCCATCATTTCTCCCCTGTCCGAGAACATGTCTCACAGTTTGAAAAATTCTGCCTTAATTGAATGTGATAGTTTTCACATCATTAAAAATTCTAAATCTATTGTTTTAAAATTGCTTGCTGAATATTATTTGAAAGATATGAGATGGTGGAGTGGATAAAAGGCTGGACCTAGAGTCAGAAATATCTGAGTTCAAATCTAGTCTCAGACACTTAGCTATGTGATCTGGAGCAAGTCTCTTAACCTGTCTGCCTCAGTTACCTCAACTGTAAAATGGAGCATCTATCTCCCAGGTTGTTGTGAGGATAAATTGAGATAGTATTTGTAGTAATATTTGTAAAGCACTTTGCAAACCCAAAGCATTATATAAATGCTAGCTATTGTTGCTATTATTATTTTATTTTATTTTTAAAAAAAAATTTTTTTAGGCAATTGGGGTTAAGTGACTTGCCCAGGGTCACACAGCTAGTAAGTGTCAAGTGTTTGGTCTGAGGCCAGATTTGAATTCAGGTCCTCCTGACTTCAGGGCCAGTGCTCTATCCACTGCGCCACCTAGCTGCCCCCATTTTATTTTATTTTTTATGGTAATTTTTATTTATTTTTTT